CGGCGCGCACACACACACACACACACACACACACACACACACACACACACACACACACACACACACACACACACACACACACACACACACACACACACACACACACACACACCAAGCTGAAAAGAACAAGGTCACTTTCCCCACTAATATTTTCCATTCATTAGTCTTTGAAAACTACGGTGGACATTCTTAAATATGTGTGAATTACCTTTATGTTTTAGAGTCCAAGGCTCCATTCCTCTGAATATCCAGTAGAATATTCCAGTGTAAATCATCCCTCCATATACACCCAGGATTCCGTGGCAGGATGGTCTTATATTTCTAACAGAATGCAGCTCCTTCCATACCCAAGATTTCTTTAAATTGTCTTCATACTCAGTTACATGGAGTCCTTTTATTTAAAAAAATGAAATGTTACATGGAAGATTGTGCAAGGTGCATAAAAACAGTATTGAGATATTTTGCTGTTGAAATAACTGATGAGTGTATCTTTACAATTTCCTATCAGGTGGTCACATCAGACTATGCTGAAGCATCACATGGAAATGTTGGGATCTTCCAAAAAGATAATGATCTGAAACAGTTTGTTGATAAGCATTTGATTTTTGGCTGTGCTAGGGATCAAACCCAGGGACTTGTGCATGCTAGGCCACTGCTCTACAACCAGTCTATCACATAGGTATGTTCTGAATACATATAACTGGTAGCATGAAAAATCAGTTTGAAAATTTAGTAAAACTGCAAGGGAAGCTTAGAGACTCTAGGTTCATTTATAAAAGTGAAAATGTTTATGCAATTCACTGAAACTACTACTATTAGGAGTTGATAATGTGTCCCTGCAAAAATACTGTATTTTAACCCCAGTACATCAGACTGTGAGGTTATAACAGGGTGAAGATGCCGATGTACTTAGAAAAATTAGAAAAAGTTTGACCCAAACGAAGCCACGTTGCCTACTCTCTTCTTCTTGAGTCCCCCGTCTCTTCTACGTTTCCCTGTATCCCCTCCTGCTCCTACAGGGACATATGCGTGTACAGCCAAGCTGAATACTTTTTTTGTAGTGCTGGGACTTGCCCATGCTACGCTGTTACTGTGCCACTGGGCTACATCCCCAGCGTCCAAGTTACTCAGTTCCAACCACAGAGGCACCCGCTATCCGTGTCTCGGGAGTAACATTCACCGAGTAGCTATGGAATTTCCAGGTACTCAGCATTCAGGATGGACACAATCCGTGCCTGCCTGACTCGTCATCCTGGTGCCAGGAAACAGCACGCAGGGTGAAAGGCGGGGGGGTGGGAGGGCTGTGTGTGCTGTCCGGCAGGGCCACCTGAGGGAGACACCTGAGCACAGGCCCAGGGAGAGTGGGGAGTTCTGAGCAGAGCCCACAGGAAGGTGGGGGTGAGTGCGGTGAGGCCGGGATGGAGGAGAGGAAGGGGCACAGCCAGGGCGGGGGAACACTGGCTCTGAGGGGAGCCGAGCCGCTCGGTCTCGCTGAGGGCTTTCCTGAGGTGTACGTGCTGGCTTCCGGCTCCATCAGGCAGAAGGGCCCTGTGCCTGGCCTGCCGCGCCTGCTAAAGATCAAGTTCTACCTTCTGCAAAGCCGCTCTGCTCTCCACCGAAAGATGCCTCGGCGTCTGTGGGGCCTCTTGGCGTGTACACCTCATGGACACGATGTAAGGCAGAGCTAGAGAATCCAGAATGGACTCTCGTCTACTCTTTGTGGGGCGGCAATACTAGGGAATCGAAACCAGGACCTTCACAGTGAGCTGCATCCCAAGCTCCCTCACCCCCTTTTAAAAAAAAAATCAAGGGCTGGGGATTTAGCTCAGTGGCACCACACCTGCCTTGCCAGTGCAAGGTCCTGAGTTTGATCCCTGTTACTGCAAAAAAATAAAAACAAAAAACCTACTGGTAAAAAAAAAAAAAAATCAAGACAGTATCTCCTTAAGTCAGTTGTCCGGGTGGGCCACACACTTACGACTCTCCTGCCTCAGCTTTGAGAGTGCTAGGATCACAGGCATGTGCCACCAAGCCCAGCTACCAGTCTATTTTTTGGGGGGGCATGGTTTCAGATAGGGTCTCACTATGTAGTTGAGACTGACCTGGAACTCACTATGTAGCCCAGGCTGGTCTCAAATGACAGAGATCCTCCTGCCTCAGCCTCCAGAGTGCTGGGATTACAGACGTGCACCACACGCCCAGTAAAACAGATCTTTTAAGGTCAAATGAAACAGATCTAACCTGACAATTTCATTTTCTGTAAGAACTTCTTACCTATTGTGTTTGACTGGAGATTTTCATTAGTTAGTTGATTAAAAACTGATTCTGCTGCCAAACTTCCACTTTTCATTGCTGTGTGGGTACCTTTGATCTTGGGAACATTCATAAAACCAGGGCTGCAACCAATTAGTAAACCACCAGGAAAGGTGAGTTTCGGTATGGACTGAGGAGAACAGAATATATCTGTTAGCTCAAATTAAGCAAAACTGAATATTCCAAATCAAGTTTCTAGAACTGCAGGGAAATGATGAACGGTAAGAATTTGTATGCAACAATGGGAAAACGAAAAGTCTTCCTTCCCTAGAGTGAAAATTACTACTATTAATTTTTTGTTAAAATTTTACCTTTTACTATTCCATGGACTGATCTACATGGGACATATTTAAGGTTGAAGCATATTTTACATTGTCTTTTGTGTGTGTGGTAACAGGGATTGAACTCAGGCCCTTCTGCTTGAAAGGCAGGCAGCAGAACCACTGAGCCAAATTCCTAGCCCTCGAAGCATATTTTAAATAAGATGATTTTTTTATTCTTTTTGTTTTGTTTTGTTGAGACAGGGTCTCACTATGTAGTTGAGACTGACCTGGAACTCACTATGTAGCCCAGGCTGGTCTCAAACTCACAGCGATCCTCCTGCCTCAGCCTCCCAAGTGCTGGAATTACAGGTGTGCACCACCACGCTCAGCTCTTATTCATTTATTTTTGATGATACTGGGGACTGAACCCAGGGCCTTCACACTGAGCTACATTCAATACCCTTTATGTTTTACTTTGAGACAGCGTCTTGCTAAAAGAAGGCAGTGCTTGAACTTGCAATCCTCTTGCCACAGCTTCCCAGAATACTAGGATTACAGGTGCACTCCACCACGCACAGCCATAAAATGTTTCAATTTATACCTGTGTCAGGGCTGGGGATTTAGCTCAGTGGTTCCCTGCCTGCCTCACAAGTGCAAGGTCCCGAGTTCAATCCCCGGTACCAAAAAAAAAAGAAAAAAAGAATGGTCTTATACCTGTGTCATAGTTGGAAATATTCTTTAACCCTGAATGACTGAAATCTAAATTGAGATTTTTTTCTATCTGCATTCCAGAAACGTACAAGGCTTACAAAGGCTTTGACACACCCTTTTCATTTAGTTTGGTACCTAGGGTTGGAATCTGTGATCCAATCACGGCACTACTGTAACCAAGTATTACTCTAAGCAATATGTTCTGATTAACTTAATAAACTGAATTTCCAAAACAGATTGTAAGGAGGTCACTAACAGCATACATTTCTGATATAAAACAACAGAAACAATGCAATAAAGGTGATTTTTGGAGGTTAGCCAGCAGAAGTCTATCTACAGCCCACAACGGAACAGACAGGAAAATGCACCCTAGTTTGGAAAGAGAAGCACCCAGTGTGGAGTTTCTTCATTCTGCTGGCAAAGTGGTGGGCTAGAAAAGCCTGGCTGACGGCACAGCCTTAGCGAGGGGCTAGAAGGGAAACGCAACACCATCAGGTGCAAGAGCGCCAGGACCACAGCTCACACAGAGAAAGGAGCAAGAACAGCACCCACAGCACACCAGGGCAGGAGGGGCGTGAGCCAGGCGGCCCTGCTCTGCACAGGACACAAGTGCAAGAGGGCCCGTTCTCAGGCCGAACCTAGCACGAGAAGGCACTAACTCAATATCACAAAGCAGGTAGCGGGAGAAAGCGTCCCAGTGACAGCAGGTAGGGACTGGCTGGAGACAGTGCTATTCTGATACAAGGCTGTCGCTTACTGACACTAAGTGACTCCAGACCAGAGGAGAGTGAAGTTTAATAAGAGAACACAGCCTGTAGGGTCAAGTTATTCCAAAACAGGTGCCTGCATCCTATAAAAGCCACACAGTCCAAGGAAAATGTGTTTCTAGACTGAGGGCCCTAGCCAAAGTGGGTGGCGTTCCTGGCAGGGGGCACCTTGTTAAAGAGCCAGGAACCCCAGAAAGCCATGCTGAGAACCACTGTCTTCAATAAACTAGGCCTGCAAATTATTAGAAACCCATCAGGAAAGGTCAGTTTGGGTATAGATGACATGAAAGTCAGACGATACTTATTAGATCAAAATAAACACAACTGAATACTTCAAATTACTGCCTCTTAAGTTTTCAAAGACTTAGCAGAAATAAGTGTCTGAATCTGGCTAATAAAGTAGGAAATTCTGGTAAAAAGTAGGAAATTCTGGTAAAAAGTTCTTGTGCACGTGTGTGTGTGTGTGTCATCTCTTCTGAAAGATCCGAAATCTGAAAATCTGAAAATGATCCGAATGCTGAAGTACGCAGGACAATGTTTTTAAGCAGATATATGTAGCAATGCATACACTGAGCCCTTTACACTAAAAGAATGAGACTGACAGTTCACGTTACGGACAGCATCCGGAGAAGTTCAACAAGACCTGAAAAGAGTTATGCCGTTCAGTAAATACATCTAGCAAGCTGAGCAGCTATTCCTGAAAGAAAAACAACCTGATGAGAATTCCGTAACGGAGGGACGGGGATGGAGCTCAGTGGCACCACACCTGCCTTGCAAGCACAAGGTCCTGAGTTCCATCCCTGGTAGTGGAAAAAAAGAGAATTCCATAACAGAACTTAGGGCATTGATATTTTAAGATTTCAATGATTTTTACAAGAGTATGATTTTACTTTACAAGTTGTTATAGAACTTCATTTTCATATTAAGAAATCACCGTATTTTCCTGTTGTCTGTTATTCTGGGGGGCAGTTGACACAGGGTCTTACTATGTAGTTCACTACGAATTTACTTTGTAGCCCAGGCTGGCCTCAAACTCAAAGCAATTATCCTGCCTCAGCCTCCTTCCACAACACCTGGCTTGTCTGTTACTTCTGTAAAGATTCTTTTAAAAATCAAATTTCTAAAACAGTCCTAGATTCCTAGAATATTAGACACAGAAGGGGTTATTCTTATTTTACAGATGACCTGTAAGGCCAGAAGTTACGTAACTTGCTCCAGATCATTTGGTATAACTTTTAAAGTTGGCTTTTAGATCAGCCTATCTGTTACTACTTTCCCAACAGTACATTTAAAAAGATTTATTTTGAACATATACTAAAATAGGACACTTAAGCGTAAAAACAGAGCCCATTTAAAAAATGGATAATAGGCCACGCTTGCTCCCGACCCAGCCGCCATCGCTCAAGCGCCGGGAGGGAGCCTGGGCCCCGATCCACCCCGGGAAGGAGAACCACGACTGTGCCCGACCCAGCAGCCATCGCTCAAGTGCCGGGAAGGTAGCCGCGTGGGCGCCCCTGAACCTCCATAATCCCCACCCCCCGCACTCTCAGACCTCCTGACTGTGCCAGTCTTTGGACCCACTCTGCAAAGACAGAGGTGGTCATCAAGGGTATTTTTCTGAGTTCCCAACTTTGAACATCTTTAAAGAAAGGGCGTGGGAAACCTGTAATAGAACGTTGCGGAGTTCAACCATTCAGAAGGATGGGGAACTCAATCTGGGCCTTGCAGCCCGAGGTCAGTCAGCGTCATGGGGTTCAGCCATCAGCTAACTGAGATCAGGGGTCTTGCATCCTCACTCTGTCTGAGCCATTAAATGGTAAATACACTATATTGAATTTTGTTCACTGCACACATGTTCTGGACTGCTTCTTGATTTCAATTTAATTCAAATGATTTAAGGGTGATAAACTAGTGACTACCACAGGTGGTCAGTGTCCAAGTTGTGCTTGATCTTAATGTGTTGCTGATTGTATCAGTTGCGATAAAGCATTGCGGTTGATTTGATGAACTGTTTTCTCTGATGTTATGAAGATGAGAATGTCTGTGGGTCGTTAGAGACACAGAAGCTAGGGTGCAACTATATCAGGAAGATTTGGGTGATAATCCAGAGATTAAACCAAGGACAGTCCGACAACAAAAATTAAAATGAGAAAACACTTAAGAAAGACACGAGGACAGACTTCCAGTTCACCAATGGCAAACAGTAGGGCAAATGAGGATGAAAAGGCCGATAGTGAACCACCAGCGCACCCTGAACTCAAAGCACAGGAAGTAACAAAACAGATCAATCAGGCTCTAGAAAAATTCAAAACAGAAATAATTTCCCAGATAACCATAGAGATAGTGAGCAATATGGAAGTCATGATTCGAGACTCTAGA